CAGATGTTTGTTACGATGTTTACATTTACAGGTGTGCATCCGCCACTATCCCCAATCCAGCTAGGTACCTGAATTGTTAGTGTAGCAGTACTCGTAAAGTATTTACTAAGGTAGCTGAACTGAACTGAATTATGTGGGAAGTTCTGGAGATCAGTATTGGGAATTAGGTCAATCCTCGTTTCTCAGAGGATGGCCCCAGTCGCTTGTCCTACGACCAGTTCCCATTCGTGTCGGCTTTTCCCTGTGAAAGAGATGTGTCGACCTTTGCTGATGGAAACATCCCATCGGCCTGGTAGGTCGGCAGTCGATACCTGGACATCCGGAAATGGATACCATGTTTGCAAAATGAATCGGTCATCAGCTGAAGAGGCTGGACACCTGATTTGGAAGCTGCACCTTTGTCGAAAAGGTTCCTACGGAATCAAGGTCAAGTGATTAGGACCATGTGTAATCAAACGCCAAGGGATGCGGACCATCCTATTCGAGTTATCATCTTTCGGCTATCTGCTTGGCCTTTTTATCGAGTTACCGCTACTAGTTTCCAAAGCTACAATCGATGAGTCGTGGAAGTTGCTTCGAGATCCTTTCGGCCAAAGTTATTTCTGGCCGAAACCCCACTGCTTAAAAGTATAGAGTTACGTTTTTTCTGGAATTTGCTAAATTCTATCTATACATGGTGGGTATTGAAACAATGCTTGTTGTGGTTTTCCATCTTTTCAAGCGTTACTTTGTAAGTAAAAGCCAATAGCCCTTCTCGAGGCTCAGCCGTTGGGTCACAATTAATCCAAGTGATCAGTAGCTGCGAGAAGTTCCTACAAATCAATATTTATCTTGTGTAGAATATTTATTATACCTCTTACCTCGTATTCAAATAAGTATGACAACAAATAACTACATCAGAGTTTTCCAGTGATAAAAAATTTCTAGAAATTTACAAAGTCAATGCACTGTGATCTTCAGAACCCTCATTAAGACTGTGGTTTCTAAACGGTTATCAAAGGCATCAACATATTGGAATATTAAGGTAATTGGAGGCAAATACAATGGCGTTTTGTTCGGCTTCTGATTTTGATGGGGCCAACGGACCATCAAGGCGCACATAGCCAACCAGTATCTGAAAACCAGTAAATTATACCAGGGAAATAACACTAGCCTAACAAAAGATGACAATGACAAGGTTTGGCATCGATAAATCCCGTTTTTGCAATGCACCACAGCTTCGACTCTCTTTAGAATCGTAGAGGCGCTTGAATGGGTGTAGGGCCTATACAATGAATCACGGTGGCCAGCCGATGTACAGTCAGTGTTTTTATCCTCCCAGAAAAGTCTGATACCAATTAACCGACGCCGGATGGATGGAAGGCTTTGTGGGCCTGAGCAGATATCAAGCCGGGGTTCGATCCCTGGACAGTGCTTGTGTGATAGAACGCCACCAGCCACTACACCACCCACAAAAAGATTTTTTGAGCCACGATAGATTTTGCTTAGCGCAGTTCTTTTATTACGAAGAAGCAAATTACAAGTTGTTTACCGTAGTCACGTAGAATATGAGATTGTTGACTACCACTGCTGATGTGATTACGCGAACATCTCCCAATCCATGATTGCGTACTCGCTCGGAGAACGACTGAAAAACAGTTGCTCGTGTCATCGATATGAGGAAAAATGATGGGAACCCAAGTGGCCGAGTGGCTTAGGAGAGGGTCTTAACGCTAGAAGATCGCCCTCTCACAGTTCAGGCGAGATGACACTCAAAGAGTTGACTAAAATGATCTTTGTTTATCATAAGACTCTCAAAATTAGAAGAACACCGTAGTGCTGTTGAGTGTAGAATGAATGAGAGGCGGAATTAAAGGCACGTTTTAGAAAAGTAAAAATTGTTCTTCCTTCTCAAGGAACGACCAGACAAGCTCGGCCTATCTACACACTAAAAAGTGGCCGTGATAGAGAGTGGTAGTATCATTCACGATGAACGGCGTAAGGTCGCCGACGAATAGTGCGCACGTGTGAGAGGCACCCAGACGGTCACAAACACCAAATCTCGTACAACCCGCTTTCGTACTACATTTTTAGAGCACTATATTACTTACAGTCTGGATTAAGGCGCTTGCTTCTCAATTTAGCACCATTCTGACCATGACTCGCATTATTTCACTAAATTTAGACACCTCAAACTTCTTGTGAGGATGAGATGCCTTCAAGTTGAAGCCTAGGGATTTGAGATCGGTGTGTGGGATACTGGAACGAGCTATCAGCAGCAGTCTTGCATAGCTGGGCCGAAGTGACCTTGTGGAATGACATGAACTCAGTAAGGTAAGATGCACCCCTCCTTGAACTTTTTCAATTTTTTTCTTCCTCTTTGCAAGTTTTCCCAAATTTTCACGGTTATTTTAGTTTTTCATATTGATCGAGCTTTGTTTAGTTCACTGAAATATTTACCTTGATCAAGTGAGACTGCTCCGGAAATGGGCCCACAGGTACTGGAAGCTGATGTGGTGGAGGAACGAAGACGAGTGGCAACGATGAAGCAGCCGGTGCAGTTGAAACTGGTGTTTGTGCTGGTGTGAGAAGTGGTACATCAAGAACTGGAGATGTGAATAAAGGCGCTTCGACTTGCAGAAGAGGAAGTCCCTCGAAACCATGTGTTGCACTAAAATCGTTGGAATACACTTCTTCCAGTTGAATCACTTGACTTAAAAAAACTTCTTTTCGTAGTTTGATTTGTTCGTTTTGAGTGAAAGCAACGAGTTTTCATAAGCCTGATAGAAAGATCTTATGTAATTACTGAACTATTTTACTTACAGGGTTTGGGCACATAACATTTGAAATCTATTGAATGGTACAAATTTATGAAAAAAGGAACGGAATAAGTTGATGAGGGAGCAAAGGGCGAAGAGGGGTGGGAAGCGCCGGAGACCCATTGTTGGGACCATCACAGTCCCTCATTGTCAATAATTCCTAATTCGAACTAATCCCTCAGTACGACCAACAGGTAGTGTCATTAAAAGTCCGGAGAACGCGCTGCGAGTGGAGAGCTAGAAAGGGTCCCTTCCTACATGAACAAGCCAAGGATGACCGCTTCGATGAAGTTGGACATTCATATTCTGCGTCAGATGACGACAAAGCTCTGAAAGCTCTCAGCTACAGCTTTGAACGGAACGAATGGTGTGCTTCGCGTCCTTCGAGTGGGGAGGGTCTACTGGGTTACATTGGCTCGCGACAGGGACGAATGGAGACGTCACTGCGCGTTCGCGCGGGCAAATCGATGGTCAACGGGACAACGGATGCAGGTGAATTGCAATTGTATAGGACTTTTAGAAGAATCAGGCATAACAGAAAAGCAGTACGAGTTTTCATGAATCATCCCTACTTAGAAAAATTTTAACTCAAACCATACACAGGTTGCTGCATTATTTGAGGATTCATCGTAAACAATCGGTGCTTTCCAATCGGAGGCGTTTTCTTCATGTTTCGCCCAGGAGGCGGCGGACGAGCCCATGACACCTCCAGACGGCTGCCATTCTAAAGAAGTATCTTTAATTTTCAAAGAGCTACAGTGGAAAAGATTAGTACGAAGACCCGGGAGACGTTAGACTCGAAATCGCAGTGATTCTAGCATGCTTACGGTCAATTTTTGATAGTGGTCTCGACGCATCGTAGACCCCGCCCTCTCCCAATCGATCATGCTTCGAATTTCACATTGCCGGCAATCGATAAAGCGTCATTTTGAAATCTGGCCTACATATTGCGCATTACTACAATCATTCATTCCCTATTCATGAAGTTTCTTTGACACCTGACTGATGCCTCGGGCGTTGTGGCGCTCGAGTCTAACTCTCGGACTTAATGTCCCACCAGTACGGCACCGTTGTGCTTTTCCATTGCAGCTTCAGCTTGGGCTCGTTTGTGAAATCGTACAAAACCGTAAGTTCGTTGAATTTTCACACGTGCGACACCCTGAAATTACACTGACACCCTACTTGGCTTTTTTCAGCAGATTTATTAGCAAACATCTTGAGAAGGATGGAAGCCAAGCTCGAAATCGTTTCCCACAAGGCTATAAAGGAGAAAAGAAACAGAGGATGGGCACACACCGCTTCTTCACCTCCGAAAAGTTGTTTTAGAGCGAGCTCAGATGTACCAGGTGCTATGTTTCTGATGAATAGATTTGCGATCTGCAAATGAAAAGTGTTTTTTAGGGATGAGAAAAACGTCAAAAGATATCCGCCCCAATCACTTGAACGCCATAAGAGTTCCCAATCGCTGTTCATTCAGGTTTTTAATTTATACTAGAAGTAAGTACCATGAAGAGATCTCATTTGCCTTTTCCATCTCTTTTCTTCTCAAAATAGGGGTAGTAGGACCAACCATTAGCACACCGTACGAGCAGCACGAACTTAGTCCTTTTACATTATTCTTGTTTCAATTTTTTCAATAGCATATCGCTGATTTGTAGTTCCGTGCACTTCTTTCAGAGCAAAATTTTGGCTTGATTCAGGGGAGTTATTGATTAATTGGTCGTAGAAGTCGGAACGTTCTTGTTATGGACTGCATGTGCAGTTGATCACATTAGAAGCGCTCTCAATGAACAGCTACCCTCGTCGGGAGGAATGTTTGGGCGAGTATCGATCTGGTGCCAATCGATGAAATGAAACCAGCCTTATTGGAAGGATAGAAGTATGTACTATAAATTGGCTATCTGGCAGCAGTAAGTATGCTCTGGAAGTCGCGATTTGAGCTAATAGTGTTTTTGGCTTGCTTCGAGAGAAATTTAAACCAATCTGCAGAAACGTGACGTAGAATAATCGAAATCGATTTTTTTGGAGATCACGAGTTACACATTATTGTATATCTATGAAAACATACCTATTCGATAACTGGTTCCATTCTGAAATCGAAATGACTGTGAGGCTATGAGGAAGGATTTCTATGAATGTAAAAAATCTTCAAAATGGTGGGATGGAGAAATGCTTTACAACGTTTACCTTCTTCATGATTTCCGCCGATACGGTGTGTTCAGCTCGTGCCCAGTCGACCGTGAGGACACGCCCTCCCATCTGAAAAAGCGAACGATTGAAGGGAAACTTGTTAGTTTTTTGGCTACCGCCAGAATTTGCTTGAGGATAAGTTTTTAATAGATAGGAATATGATGACGCCTTCTGTAAAGAAGAAGTATGTGCTCATTCGCAAGTTCGAACTTGATCGCTTGAAACTTTTTGCCGTTGACAAGAGTTACCGCTCAGTTGTCACGAAGGATTCCAGTTCGAGCCGATCCCTATCAAGTAGCCCAGAAGACCGTATGTGGGGTCTTGTACTTAAAGGATACACGTCCGCCGTGGTTGCATCATGTCTGAGCGCCAATGTAAGGGTAAGATTTGGAACGCTCACTAAGTTATTACGGTAACTGTCGCGTGTGTGCCTGCGACGGAGGGAATCTGGTAAAAAAGTTCGCCACCCATAGAGGTTCGTTGACATTCTTGCCACCTAATGTCTAATATAAAAGGATTTGAGCAGAAATCAATTTGTATGCTCAACACTGTCAACGGAGTGTGGATCACCTCCGTCGTCCTAGGTATCGGAAACTCCACGCAACGCTCTTTCACAAACCCTACCTCATAATCATCCTTCTTGCCTAGAGCTTACGCGTCTGAGGCGTATGTGTACAGGGTAGCTTATTAATCGAGGAAGGTTCTTGTTTATCTCCCAAATCCCGAGATTATAATATTTATCGAGCGCTCTGCATGTGACTCGCCTCTCTCACTGATCTATAAATACAGTTTCTTCCTTGAAGGCAATTCAATTCGAACAAAAATGGTTCCGGAGACTAGATGAACCCGTGGCATCCGAATGCGCCAAGTGAGGCGCTGTCCGGTCAAATTCCGGGATAATACGCAGTAGGGGCTCAAAGACCGGCTTCGTCGATGTCCACATCCTAATAAGGCATTGTAGAAGCTGCACCGCTCGCAAGTAAAACCCATGCAGACATACAAACAACTAGTCGTGACGCATGGCGGAAGTGGAAGACAATTTTGAGCATTTTTGGCTCAGTGTTGCCAGCTCTTCTCGGATTTGCAACGTTTTGAATTTAGTCTAAATATCCCTTTCATGCCATTAACGTCATTTTGATCTCGTACAACCTTCTATTTCCGCCAAGTTAAGAAGCCATACATTTTCTCGCTTTCTTTGCCACAAACCCACTATGTACTTCCATCAGCGCTGCCAATTTTCAATAGCAAAACGGTACCTTCGAATGAGGTGAGGGGGAGCATAATCTGTTGTTGTAAAAAAAAAGTTATTATACTTCTATACTAGTGAGGTAAGAATACAGTTTCGTTTACGAATATTACCTAATAATCCTCATAACGAAGGATCATGCTAGATTATCCCACTCTCATCATCCGATAGCAATGAATGCATTTGCCAGTGAGCAGCCGAGAAGGCGGTGTAGACTTAACTGGGATAATTTTAAAGGTGATATCAATGAGAATTTTAGCTTTATACTGAAATAATACAACCTTGTGCATGGACCCATTAAAAGCCTAACTGACTCAGAAACGAACTGGCTGAAGGATCAAGCAAGAATCCAGTTGATCAGCTATGTTCAGTGAGCAATTGTCAAATGAAACGCTTTATTTGAAAAAAAAGAACCCATGGCAACTCAAGATGGGGCTTCTTTTCGGTTTGTAATATGTTGTGTGACAAACCGAATATATGTTTACACCAACGTGTTCGGGATGCGCCACGCAATCGCGCTCCATTTATTAGGTTGGCAAATAAGTCCTGCGACAAAATTGAGACCTTTTTTCAATCATTTCTAAATTTTTTCATATTAATCAATTTTCGGAAAAATTTTTACCAAAAAAGTCAACAACCTTCTTTTATCCTTTGAGCCAATCACTGATGTCATCTCT